GAGTTGAGCCGCATTGTAGGGTGAATGAGGTGCCTAAATTTAAAAATGTCCATTTGGGGACTCTGTTGCCTTTAATTTGTGTTGCTGGGGGCAACAGGAGTTGCCCATTTGTGTGTAAGTGACAACATTTTGCAGCCCATTATAAATGCTCCTTCACACTTCACTTGGGCTCTTCTCTGTCAGAAATCCTGGCCTCCGCAGCCTTGTATTACCATCTTCTGCTGCTCTTTTATTTTGGTAGGTTTTATACTGATGGTTTTTAGAGTCTATTTTCTATTTATACCATCCCCTGCTTATTTCAACAATAATCAGTTTAGAAATAAGCCTAAACAAATAAATAGAGTGGCCCCAGCTTATAAGGTAATTCTAAATCTTTAATTTTGTTGGCCTGCAGCCATAGATTTCTATGTTGGGTTATAACCAGCTTTGTTTCACTGTGTTGGAAGGAAAATTTGCTTTCCTAATTTGCTTTCCCTATTTTTGATACCTCGTGTACAGTTACTATATAGGGGATTTGGATGGTGTAGGGCAGAGCTGGGGGAACTGTGTCACTCCAGATAGTGTTGAACTGACAACTATAACCACCAGCCCTAATCAGCATGGCCAGCAGTCAGGAATTATGGGAGTTGTAGTCCAACAATATCTGGAGGGTCACAGGTCCCCATCTAGGTTGTGTCCTGATTTTCATGTGGGGCAGTGGAGGGTATGGAAGTGGCTATTGGTAAAACATTAGCATTATATCATGACCCCATCACACCAGGACAGAAACTGAAATGTCTCCTTAGCTAGGATGTTTGTCGACATAGTCTGCAGGCTAAGAGTACTGTTTCATTAGGCTAGCTTTAAAAAATAATAATAAATAAAAGAGACACTTAAGTGCTTAAAGGCTGAATGGATGTTAGTAATCGTTACAACAATCTTATAATGTTGGCCAGTATTATCTAGAGCCAGTGTGGTGTAGTGGTTAAGAGTGGTGGACTCGTAATCTGGTGAACTGGGTTCGCTTCCCCACTCCTCCACATGCAGCTGCTGGGTGACCTTGGGCCAGTCACACTTCTCTGAAGTCTCTCAGCCCCACTCACCTCACAGAGTGTTTGTTGTGGGGGAGGAAGGGAAAGGAGAATGTTAGCCGCTTTGAGACTCCTTCGGGTAGTGATAAAGTGGGATATCAAATCCAAACTCTTTGTCAGAGGCTGGGAATGGGTGTGCGCTGAGGGTAAGAGGCTTGTCTCTTTCCCAGATTGATGTTTGAACTGGAAACTTTAGCTAACACTCTTGTTCACAATGCTGTGATGCTGTCAGTCCTCTTTTGGTTCAGCCCTGTGGGTTTCCCCTAGAATCTCTTAATTCGCCTCATCCAATCAGCTTGCTGCTTTACACATTGAAAAATGGCATGGGAACCTCTGAATTCCTACTTTTTGAGAGCAGAAAAAGTGACAATGATCTATGCTGCCTGGTTGAAGCAATTCTGATTTTATTAATGCAAGCACATCTAGTCAAACACAGAATATCCTGCTTTATGGTACAGCTTTATATGTAGCAATTCAGCTCAGAATAACAAAAACACGGATGGCGAAGGAATGTATCAAACCAAAGGAAAAGAATATAATAATAATAATAAAAGAAAGCCATATAGAAATGGCACTTTTTCAAGTATATATACTAGAACCAATTGACCACTGGAGTGCACATCCATGTAAAAGCTTTTTCTGTCTTCTTAAATATGTATACACAAAGTGTCCCAGAACTGCATTTCAAATATATATCTCTGAAATTTAAAGCATCCTTTTGTAAATTTCAAATACATTAACAAAGCTGATATACAATCCCTTTCATAGTGTTTGACAATGTTGCTAGCTAGGACATCTCCAAAAGTGCAAAAAACCCACTGTAATAATACAGTATAAATATTCTCTTACCTCTAGGGCTGAAGATCAATACTTCAGCATTGGGGGGTGGGGGGATAGCAGCAGGTCACAAATAATCAAAGCCACTAATTCTGTCTCTGTCTTTGTAGGGCTGTCTTTCTGTTAATACATAATATTCTGCTTCCTCTTTTGACGTGTATAAATCTGTTCCATTGCTTCTGTTTAGTTAATTTGTTTTGCCTTATTCGCTGAACAATTTTTGTGGTGGCAGTGAAATGCTTTGGCAAATCATATTTGTTTTTTCAATTAAACTGAGTTTTCTTCCCAGAGAAACCTGTATTAACTTGAAAACAGGGGTAGGGTGGAATAGTAAGATCTTTTCACACATTTATGTTTTTAGGTGTTGCAAATATGGTATATTAATTGGCCCACTACGGGTTCTTAGTTTAATTGTTCTTGAGAAAGTAGTAGGTACATGATAATATATAATTATCACTTAATTAAAACAAGTATTTTTAATCCAGCGCTTGGTGTTTGTTTTTTGTCTCCTAATTGAAAAATTAATTAGGAAAAAGCTGGATGGTAACAAGATTTTTAAGCAACTGAGAAATCTGAAGCCTAATGATTCTTATCAGTGAATTAGCCATCTACTCAAGAACAATTAAAAATAAGTTAAATTAGGCTAGCTTAATTGGTTTTGGAATATGCTCCTAAACTTGGTCTGTAGGGATTTGTTCCAAATGGGGTGGTTTTGCTCTTATGGGCTGGTTCGCATATGGATGTTCGGCACTTGAAAAGTGAAACATCAAATCATGATTTTGCATGTGAGTGAGCACCTCAAATGCAATACTCTTCTATTGGAGTCCGTTCACACATTCAGCTGCCGCCTGAGTAATCAAGTGATGTGGCTTGTGTGTGAGGACAGCTTGAAGTCTTTCAAAGGAGCAGGGGAAATAGTGTAGCTCTGAGAAAGGAAAATATCAAAATAGCATGATAGGAGATTTATAATGAGTAGGAAGCATTTCCTCAAAGCAATATAATAAATTAAGAAGGGAGGCATTGCAATGCTTCTAAATTTGAAATTGTGCCTTGCACAGCTGTGATTACACCAGAATGTGGTGGATTGTCTAGAGTCACCTCTTACAAGTTCCACTGTCACCAATAATTATACAACAAGCTCGTATCATCCCAGGAGGGATATCAAAAGGTGACTTCACGTTACATATATTGGATTGTCTCCAGCATCTGTCTGAGTAGACCCACTGAAATGGATGGAGCCAAATCAATCATATCCATTGAGTTCAGTGGGCCTACTCTGAGCATGACTGTATATATTATAAACAGGTATAACTACAAAAGTTACTTAATTGGGTAAATTGCTCTTACATGTCATCATAAGGTCAGGGGACATGAACTAATATCGATAGTCAATTGGCCTACCAATAGGAGCAATGCATGGCAGCAGCAAACTGTTCTCAAATTCACTGCAGGATGTTTTAACCCAGGAACAACCAATGTGGTCCTCCCATTATCCCTGATCATTGGCTTTGTCAGCTGAGGCTGCTGGGAGGTGTAATATATCAACTTCCAGAGGACACCACACTGGCTACCAATGGCTTTAATATTTTACCTGATCTTTGAGCTCACCTTAACTTAGTGAAGCCTTTTTATAAAGTCCACCTTGAACCTTGTGTTGCAATACTCTGGTTGACCTCCTCCGACTAATTTAAGGATTTGTTAGTCAGAGGCTAGTTTGTAAAAGACAACACATCATTGGCAGTTAATCTTTTGCTCAGACTGTGACAGCTGTACTCTCACTCTCTTAAAATCCCTGATAAACAAACACAAATGTAAACTAAAGACTTCTTGGGTCTAGTAAAGGAGGGGTAGGGGAGGAGGAAAGATGAAGGAGGATCTAGCAATTATCCTATTTTACCTTGTCAAACCTTGTAACAAAAATAAGTTCTGCTGCACCATTACTGTAGGTATACTCTAGTTCATGTGCCATATCTTCCAGTTTATTTACAAAGCTGTAGCTGGTTTTTTTTAAATTATTAAAGACATCCATATTTTTATTTTGCTTGCTTCCAACCCGAGTTGCAGAAGAAGGTACGCTAAACATTTTCAGTACCTTGTAAGGCACTATTCTCTGATGTAAGAGGGGAGCAGCCATGCTGCTACAGTGGTTTTTAAGGCCAGACTAAAGGAGACAGTCTTTGTGCTGAACCGCAGAGGCTCCCACACTGTTTCCTTGCAGTCGAGGGTCTATTTACACCAGGGGTGGGGGGAACCTTTTCGGCCTCGTGGGCCAGATCTTTCTCCGCCCTGCCCCTGCCTCCATCGGCCAACTCTGACAGGTGGGCGGGAACTACCGGCCTGTCTGCCAATCATACCAAACTTTACAAAACTGGCAGAATTAAATGGTGAAGCTGGACCTGATCTGGACCGCAACAGGTGGGGGTGGATAGGCTTTTGTGTGCTCTCCAGAAAAACAAAAGAATTGGCTTGGATCCTAAGAGAGGTTTACTTATAGAAGTTCATGGAAAGAAAGTTTCCCACCATTCCCCCTGCCCCACGGCAATCTTGGCCTCTTAAAAACAAAAGACACTTCTCTGGATGACTGGGAGCCAGTGGCGTAGCGTGGGGGTGCAGGGGGGCCGGCCGCACCGGGCGCAACATCTGGGGTTAGGGCAAATCCACAGGTTAGGGGGTGCAAATCCACGGGTTAGGGGGCACAAATCCACGGGTTAGGGGGCGCAAATTACTTGCCCCGGGTGCTGACAACCCACGCTACGCCACTGCTGGGAGCCCTCCTAAATTATTTGGGATGGGTTTGCAGGGAGCTGTTGGGAGAGGATGAGACAGGAAATTTTTATTCCATGAACTTAAGTAAACTCCAAGTCCAATTTGGGAGGCTGCAGTAGCCCATCCCACATTGTTCAGGAGGGAGCCCTGATCCTTCAAAGAAGCAGGGGAGGAGAAGGAACACTTGACTTCCATGAACTCCCTTACATTAGTGTATCTTACGATCCAAGGCACTGTATGTAGAAATCTAGCATATTGGGTAGAAAAGTCTTCTCCAAGGTATGTTTCTTTTATTTGAACATCCACACATGCAAGCAACACCACCCCTGTCTATAGCGGCACACTCCAGGCAAAGCTTTACTGCTTGGCTCTGTTGACTGTATAAATTGGCCCCAAGAGCACAATTTTCTAGTGCTCCACAAAGTAAATGAGGCCAGGAAAGCAGCATAAAGACAAAAACAAAAGGGGAAACCCATAACATTGAGAAGAAATTCCAGAAGTGTAGCAGTGTAGAATCCATTGCAATAGAAGCAACAAAGAAATGTGTGGCACGTTGGAAACTCATAGATCTGTTGCGGTGTGAGCTTTCATAGGCAAAGTCCTACTTCACTAGATGGAAAGGGGGGGGCAACAAGGTGTGGCTTGGAAGCTGCTTTTTGCCTTCTGTTTTCTGTGATGCAGCAGGAGAAGCAAGCTCTTCAAAAATATCAGATGCCCAAAATGAGGGTTATAGTTCAACCAAGGGCTCTGTGCTTATACCGTCCTTAGTCAATCTGCACCTGTTCTGGGAAACGCGCTTGTCCCTCTTTAGGCCTGTGGAAGCCTTGCTGATTTCAAACGCATCAGCCCCACATGACAACATTTATTTTCAGGAAGCGTTGGGTGGATAGCGGAAACCAAACCTGCAAAATGTTGAGCCCGTCTAAGACTGTGCGTGTGTTAGGTGGAAGAAACCAAACATGAAAATAAAGATCTGGATGTCATCACAATAAGACACCACCATAGATACCACTCCCCACAATCCATTTCATCTCTGAGAACAGGGCCCGGCCCTTGATTTTTCTTCTTCTTTTTATAGTTAAAAAACAAAATCCTTCATTTTTTTAAGTGCCTTAAGGTTGATGTGAAATATTTAGCACATTTTTGTCTTCTGTAATTCATAAAAGGCATTGTATCTACAAAACAGACCCCAACCAGTGAGGCCTTCCTTTTTCAAATCACGTCTTCGAGGATTTAAAAACAATGTTTTTTTTTAGTGTGTGCTTTAGAATCCAGAGCAGAAGTCCAAAATCTCAGGCTCTGTTGAGCAGAGTTGTCCTAAAAATGAAGAGATAAAAATGAAAAGATAACGTCAGCAAACCGTCTTAAATGTTGTCACCTTAAGTTACATTAAGAGAAACAGATGCAACTGCGAATATACTTGAGATCAGCTCAGATTACTGGCTGGTATAAGTTCCCAGCTATTAGTGCCTGGCTGCCCCATTAAGCTTGGCTTCAGATCTCCAACTGCCTAGCTGGATGATTAGGTTTCTAGTTTTCTCTGTTACCTGTGTTTACCCCAGTATTCTCAATCATTTGATAATGACTTGCCAGTCCTCAACCATGTATTGAAAACTGACTACAGATCAGGTTTCTGGCCCTTGATATTGGAACTGGTGTTCCCTGGTGTCAGAGCTGCTCCCCGATCCCAGCTCACAGAGGATCACGCTAGCCAGCGTTCGCTTTATAAAAGTCTTTATTGAGTTACAGTTTCCATTTCCAAGCTGCTGCGTGCAACTCTACGTCTTATGGCTAGACCGGCGAAGCTCCGTCTGAATCTCCGCCCCTCGTACACCAACTTAATATCCTCGCCTTACTCCACCTTTTCCGCCTGACCGTCCTTCTCTGGGTCCCTCTGCCCCCCGTGGTCTCCTCCCTCCGGGACTCCTCTGACGCTGACCCCCCGGACCCTCCTGTCTCCTTGCGTCGGGCTTTAGGACCTGGCTCCCTTTCCGGGCTGCTTACTGCGCCGCCTTCCCGTGCATTTGAACTTGGCGCGCGCGCCCAGCCTTCCACTTTCCGCTTGACCGTTTCTTCGCTCCCCGATGGGGGTGTGGTCACTCCTGACTCATGCCCTCCTCCCTGCTGCGAGCTGCCAGGGCTCGATCCCTGACGTCCTTCCTCTCCACTGCGCTCTGGTGGGGACGCTGGCCCCGATTTCCAACTGCTGCCCTCTGAACCCCCGCTGGTCCCTTCCTCCTGGGGTGTCCCCCTAGGCCCCCCCTTTGCTCTGGCCACTGGCGCTCCTTTCTGTGAATCTTCCGATTCACTGGAAAGACTCGGAGATCTCGGGTCGTCGTCATCACTCATCCTTTCTTCGGACTCCTCCCCCTCGCTCTCTGTTTCCTCCCTTGCCCTCGCCTCTGCTCCTGAACCCCTGACACCTGGTTTGTTTGTTTTTTATATTAAAAAAATCTAGACTAATACTTGAGTTTAGCTACTACACCTACACTGTATCTGTCAACCAAAAAGTGATTTTGGATCCAGCCTGTCAAGCAAGGCCTTGATTGCTGTGCAATTCAGAGCTGTTCTATGTGTTGAATTTAAATTTGCAGCAAAATGAAAATAAGATTGCAGAATGTTGATGGGCTGTAGTGCCTCAGGCAACAGGTGGGAAATATCACTTCTCAATACTATCCATGTTAAATTTTAAAAACCCACACAAAACATCCTGCAAAAAGGAAACTAGTAGACCAGGGAGAAGTCCTTTGCTGGTTGTGTTGGCTTTCTATTTTTCAACAAAGGTGAGCATTGTACAATGTCATCCCCCCCCCATACTGTACAATCATGTCTTGCATGGGGGGTTATGTTCCCCTGGGTGGCCTGGGTGTTTGGCTTTTAGTGTAGTCCTTCGAAGCAGAAATAGACGAAGAAGTCTTCTATGTATGGCTTTGATTTTCATTTGAGCTAGAGAAGAATTAATGGCCTAATTCTTGCCTCTCAATTGAGGCAAGCATCATGGAGTCCATGAGCATGGCAAACTTTGGCGGCCCCTCTTCTTTACCTAATGTGTAGCTCCCATGCCAAATTTCTGAAGGCTCAAAAGGCCAGTAGCGTAGGTTGCATTTCGCAGTATGAAAAAGAACCAAGGAACTGGTTTCATTACCTGAGTGTCTTCCAGCTGTCTTTCTCCATATGATTTTCTGGACCTTCACTTTCAAATGATGCAATAAACAAAGCTGAGGGTTGGGAGGGTGGGGCAGAGAAAGACGGGAAGTCAGTCAGAACATGTAACAGGGTTTTAATCACATAGGAACAGAGGAAGTGGCCTTATATGTAGTAAGAACATTGCCCAACCTAGCTCAGTACTGCTTTGACTGGCAGTGTCTTTCCACAACTTGGGACAGGGAACATTCCCACCCCTATCTGTTCCTTCCACAACTCAAGCAGAGCTACAGCCCTTCTCCTTTTATAGCCATAATGATGTCAAACGATAGCATTTTAGGAGACATAAAAGATAGACTACATTTCCCCCCTCTTATCTCCATGGTATTCTGTAAAGCATGGATAGTTACAACTACACCTGCCGCTTTGGACCCTAAACCTATAAAGCACTGTGGTTGCATTATTGTCAGCAGCCTTGCAAGTATGTATCCTTTCAAACAGAGCCCTAACAGCCAAAGGAATCCTCTAATGGATTCTTAGAACACTGCCATGTGGTTTATGCTTGTCGGTTGCAGAGTTTATATCTCTTCCTCTTCAGCACCAACAACATCCACAGCTGTTGGCAAATCTGCCCATTTTCACTTTCACCGTTGAGCCTCTTGCACATGTTGTTTGTGGAAATGAGCAAATTTTGCGTGAGCTGCCGAAGAATCTTACCTTCTTCACTATAAATAGGTGCTGTGAGCAGGTAGCTCTGGATTTTCTTGTCCTTCTCAAAAGGACACTCCACCTGCTTCCATGTGATAAAGTCGTGGATTTGCCTTGAAACTTCCCAGAACTTCTGTGTGAGATAAAATTATTCCAATCAGCATTTCATTATTGTTTATTTCATGCCACCTTCTGAACTTTGGTTAAGCCTATAGTTCAATGGTTAGAGATGACAGTGTGCAGCCCCCCCCCCCGGAAACAAGGCCATCAAAAGGCTTGTCAACTGTATGGGCTGCATCCAGTGCTGCACAAAACATAACTTTCTCTTCCTTTCCCCATGCACCCTTCCTTCCAGAATGTGCTCCAGAGTCCCCCAAACCCTCCAGAGCTGGTTTGAGGTATGTGCAGGAAGAGCCAAGGAGTTTGGTTGCACAAGCACTAGGACAGCACTGGATGCATCCCTACGGATTTGCAGTCACCTCCGTTGGCACCGCTGCAATGGGCCTTTTTAGAGCTGCTGCAATCGTGCACATGGCAGCAGCCACCTCACTCCCTCCTCCCATGTAGAAGCACCAGATCATGCAACCAGCTCCTCTGTGCAATCCTGGCATCACCAGCTTTGCGGCTGAGCAGGGATTTGAACCCAGGCCTCCCAGGTCCTGTTCTGGTACTCTAACCACTAGGTAAAATAGTTTCATCCCCTGCCCATTATGCAGCCAGCACTTCCATCTTCTACAGATGGGGACATAGAAGCAGAGGTTCTGTGTTCAACGTTGTGATAGCAAGAAACCCAAATTTTTGTCATTGCCGAGGTGCACTCACTTCAAATGCAATCCCCCCCCCGCCCCTGATTGGTTAATTGCTCTAGTTTGAACGTGAGGCTGTGAGCAAGCTGTGACAAACCTATTCTGAAGGAACAGAATGCAAACAGATCAGTATAAAAATGGCCAAGTGGCAAGCCTCACTGACTACATATGGCATTCTGTTCTTTTGCTTGGATGTTTTGTCTGCCTGCAGCACTCACTGTGCAACTGCTTCATTCACTGCCTGCAAAACAAGCTGTACCTTGAAGTTTATCTGTCCGTTGGGCAAGTGGTTGGTGTGTATTTTATGCAGAAAGTAGATATCTTTAATGAAGAGGTTGAAAACGGGGATGACTATTTTCTCCCTGCTGCTGTGTGCTGTCTGCGATCTCTGTGCTGCTCCTTGAAGGGCTGTCCGGTAATTGCAAAAGTTGCTGGATGGGTCCATGTGATGCTGTTCGGATCAAAAAGAGAATTTGTTAGAATTCCTCTGAGTACAAAGGCTTACAAAATTGGCTTTATAGTGATCTGGATGGGGGTAATCTGATAATTACAAACATCCTCCCCACAGAACCTTCTTGAGACTGGAGGAAGTGTTATTTCATTCCTTTAGTCAGGTTGCATTCTGAGGAACCAAAGGAGTATGGAGAGTTCTGTATGAAATGGGTGCTTGCCTATACGCTGCATGGGCAGGTTTGGATTTGACCTGGGAGTTGTGATCCAGAGATTTTCAGGGTTGGTTCTTACATCCATGTACATCACTTGATTACCTGACACCTCATGACCTACAGCTGCACATATGAACTCTGTCCACTGGAAAGCCTTGTGCTGGAGTGATGGGAAAGATATTGCCTATGATTTGTTGGGTGCACACATATAAGTCATCATGCATTACTAAATATTGCCTTTGGAGAGAAACATCACTTGTTCAATTTTTGTTCCTGCTTTGATATTTTATTGTTTGAAAGTGGGATGTACTTCTTTCACCAATTGGTATTTGTTGCAAGGGTCTACTTAGGGCCAGAGTGGCAGAATATTAGTGAAATTTCCAGTGATTCAGGACAAACCCCCAACAATATCTTTCAAATATTCCAAACCATTTTGCCCCTCCTTGCTTTCTCTCTTCCCCAGTTGTGCTTGTTTTCAAATGGTTTAAAAATAACGAGAGGTTTGTGGCAGGAATTATTCTGGTTAAATGTTGATCATCACTCTCCACCAGATGGCGGACTTAAATTGGAGATGAATATACATCATGCAGGCAAAAGGAAAATCACTTGGGTTTAAACAGGGCTGATACCACAGGGACTGAGGTGGGGGAGGGGGCACCAGCCACAATTAGGGATATTCCAGGTCCTTTCTCTGAAAGTTCAGCTCCCGTTTTTAAGAAGGATCTTTTACTTATGGGCTAAAGATGCACAGGCACTATTCTGCCCAATTGCTCAGTAAGATAAACCAATGAATTCCTTCTCTGCAGTGTTCCAGCCCAATGTGTGCAAAGCTGCAGATGTCTGATGAGCACTGGGGAACTTTTAAATATTATTTTCTACTGAAGAAATTCGACGGCTTTTGAGAGATCAGGCTATCTTAGCTGTTTCTCACTCAGCATCTTATAGTGTACCTTTTGAGCTTCATTCATACTAACTGGCTATGGGCAGAGAACAATTACTAAACACAGTTTTAAAGACTTTTTTAAAAGGAAGAAATACTTGGCACATTTCTGGCAGTATGTGGCAAAGCATGAACCATTTATGGTGCTATAATGTTAGTATTATCAAAATGAACGATTTGGATTTTCATATCATGCTTTAAAATCCATTTTTCTGGGCTGTTCTAATAATGCATTGATGCAGATTTTTGCTGTTGTGTTGTGAACCACTTGGAACACGTGGAAAAAGCAGCGTATAAATGATGATGATGATGATTTAATTACCTCTAAAACATCAAATTTGGCTGTTTTGACTTTGGACCAAGTTTTCTTTAGCCGGGCAACAGGACTCAAGTTCATACCCGCTAAAAAGAGAAAGAAAAAAAGAAATGGAAATTTTTTAGCAAATCATTGAAAACATCCCTGCATGTCTGTCAGGATGCTTCCAGCAGTATTGTTGGTGCTATGTTCTGCAAATCACTACTTCTGCAGGCAGTTGTGTCAAAGGAGGGTAGTGCAGATGTAACGAAGATCAGAAACGGGCCATAGGATCGCGTGCTCCTTCTCACTTGTTCCTCTCCTCTCCAGACTGCACCCCTCCTTAGCTACCCTGTCTATGGTTAAGCACTGCACTGGCACCAACAGTGACCTGGCATCCCACTTAACCAGGATTCTTAAGCCCCCTTCCCTAAAGAGGGAACATCTGTAAGTTGGGGTTGCAGCTCTCTTAACTGGGGCTGTGCAACTCTTCTGGCCCCTTTTGCATGTTTAAAGTGCACTTCTGCAGAGGGTAAAACCCTGATCTTCCAAGAGCCTAACTCACACATGAATACAGAAGGCTGCTGGCTGCAAAAGTGCACTTTAAAGCAAGATGGGACTGGAGCAGTCATGTGACACCAGCTGGTGGGGCTGATCATGTGTCCCCACAGCCTTCATCTATGTGTGTTTCCTCTTCAGGTGACAATGCCAGTTTTGAGTCTAGGACTGGAATTCTTCTTAGCTTAATCCCAATCAAGGTGGCTGTTGCATACCTTAAACACGTTGTAACGCAGGATGGAGGGAAATTTTGCTATTGAGAAAACAATTCTGTGTCCACTTTTGGTCACTTTTGTTACATCTGTGCCAAAGGTTTGAAGCTGGGAGAAGTTTGCATTTCCAGGATTTGGATAATCTCTGATTACCCCCCCCCCAAAAAAAGTCCTTTTATGTAATCAGGACAATGTAATTCACACATTAGGCATACACTTCAAATATTCTAAGTGTGCACTAGATTATGTAGACAAGAAGAGGCACACTTGTATTTTGCAAACATGCACTGACTCACTCTCACCAGGGAGCCAGGATTGGTTGTACCTCTCCATCAAATATGCTTTGAGCATCAAACTCCGATTTGCCATTCTGCAACGCATGAAAAGGTCTTGTGTGGCTCGTCTCTTTGGCAAGTGCAGACTACTTTTACCTGTCTTTTCCCTGTCTCCTCTTTTGATCTCCCACCGCTTACCAGTTAATTATTTGGAGAGTCTCACTTGGTAATATCTTTGATGCCCATTTGTCATCCAGAGTGCAGCACTCTCAGCGGGACGCTGCATCTACTCAAACACCATCATTCTACTGACGCTGTCACACACATTGCCCACAGGTGCCTTGCGGAAGAGTACTCACAGATAATGGCCATCATGGAATTAAAGTTTCCAATGTTGAAGCACTCTCTTGCCACATCAATGAAAAATTCCACTATTCTTGTCCGCTGCTTTTTCTTCACAACCTGAAATTTAAAATGCAAACCTTGAATGGGAGAAGTGGGGTAGCATTTACTCAGTGGAGGCATGGCATCCCGCAAGCAAACAACATTTGTTTTTTTAAAAAGGCTTTGAGGAAGAGCATTTCAGTGGAAAAGGTGTCGATGCGTCTATCCTGATTTGAGTCACCTCCCCCCCCATTTTTTTAGAGTAAGCCTTTGTGATAGTGATCTAAGATCCCTGTTTTGTTTAAAGAGCCATTATCTTTGGAAGATCATGAAAACTTTGTATGTCTATGGATGCTGGAATCCTGAAGCCTTATGTAAGGAAGAAACTAGGCGTTGGGGAAATTTTGTCAAGCAAAGAAAGAATGATTTTGGTGATTGGAATGCCAAATACATTTAAAACATTCTGTCCTCAAATGTAGAAAATAGGAAATATTCCATCCAGGGGAGGCGTGCTTCGGTAAGGTGGAAGCAGGGGGTTTGCTTCACTATAGCACTGAGGATTTATAATCCAGCTTTTTTTAACGTTACTGTTGATAAGATATCCTGAGGTAAAGCACCAAGCTCACTTCAAATCTGCAGGGAAATGAGACTAATCAACAGCATTTGCACAATAATAATTGTGCAAGGCAGAGTAAGAAAACAGTCTCAGGCAAGGCAGCGAAAAATTGCCAACCCCTCACCCCCGCTCACCTCATTATTGACTGCTAGTCCTGATGCTACCACCTAGCAAAGTGAACATGTCTGCCACCCCATACACCACCTTCTCCTTCACTGGAAGGACGGTCCAAGGTCCCCCCCCCCCGAGTGAGGCATTTTTCCAGGAGAGTCCTGGTGCTACCACTGCAGTTTGCCACAGTGGGGAAAAAAATATCTTTACATTTTTCATTTAAAGTGGGAGACTTAGGCATGCACTTAAATCTCTCCCACTGAAAACAAAGGGTTTTAAAATTCTTAGCTTTGTCCGAATGACTGCCCCATGTTGTTTTTTTAAAAACACATTTGCTTCCCACATGACGTGTTGCTGAGTTGCATTTTTGCCTATGCTGTTTGTAATTAGCTTCTGAGAATTAATGGGTTTGGTACAATTATCAGTCACTGTTCACTAGCCTTGTTGATAGTGGATCAATGCTTGCTTTCTGCATTATTTGTTCAAGCTTTGTTTCTGAGGGCTAACAAATGTTTTTCTTTTTCTTAAAGGCAGAATCACATGTAGGGAGAACCTTTCTCCCAGCGTGCAAAATTTTACATGCAGAAAATTAACTGACATAGTGGAGCATCCAAAAAATGTCATTGCCTATCTGCAATCTAAAGTGATATAAGCCAGGAAAGATGCTACCACATGATTCTGCCACATGACTCTAAGAATTTTGGAAAAATGCACTCCAAAATTTATCACTGTAAGTTTTTCACTACCATACTGATTTCGTAGGTCTGGAAGATGATGTTTTGGGATACATTTCCATCTTCCGGTCAGACTCTGACATGTTACGAATCCTATGTGCGGTTGGTGTCCACCTGTTTGCATACAGAGAAGACACTTCTGTTGAGGTAAGCCTACATATTCTCTATATTGGGTTTTCACAAACTCTAAGAAAGTTGTTCAGCTCTCAGTCACTAATTGTTGTTCTAAGTACCTCTAGATACTTTCATGTCACAGGCACACAATTCTCCCTTCCTTTTTATTATATGGAGTTTGAGAAAGAGGCACATGCTGTATGTTTTAGTTTAGCACTGTAAGCAGCTCAAGCGAAGCTTGCATCTTGGAAGCCACGAAGACTATTGCATCTCCACACCTACACGCTGTTCATTCTAAAGTGAAGATGTACTGTTCGTTATAAGGCATGATGTAAAAGGTAAAAAGGTAATGGTAAAGGACCCCTGTACGGTTAAGTCCAGTCAAAGGTGACTATGGGGTTGCAGCGCTCATCTCGCTTTCAGGCTGAGGAAGCCAGCGTTTTTCCACAGACAGCTCTGGGTCATGTGGCCAGCATGACTAAACAACTTCTGGCGCAACGGAACACTGTGACAGAAGCCTGAGTGCACGGAAACACCGTTTACCTTCGTCACAGTGGTACCTATTTATCTACTTGCACTGGAATGCTTTCAAACTGCTAGGTTGGCAGAAGCTGGGACAGAGCAACGGGAGCTCACTCCGTTGTGTGGATTCAAACCGCCAACCTTCTGATCAGCAAGCCCAAGAGGCTCAGTGGTTTAGACCACAGTGCCACCTGCATCACAAGGCATGATGTGTGTTCATATGACCAAACCCATTCCTTTTCCCTCGCTGTGGTCCAGTTCATATATTTCCAGAGCAACATGGTTGCTGTTTCCCACAGCCCCCATCCCATAAAGTTCCACAAATATATGACACACTTAATTGTGTTGGAGGCGAAAGTCACAGGGGACTTTGCAGTGCCACATCTGCTGGAACTCAAGAGGAAGTACAGTGATGCAGGAGCCTCCTGGGATAGCATTACATCCTACAGTATTAGCACCACATGGGATGGAGCCAGGTGAAGCAGCAGTAACGCTGCTTGGGGAATGTATGAATTGGGCTTTTGCTGTGCAGCGTGAGTCAAATCAGAATAGGACAAGAATGGGTGCAAAAAATACAAATGGAAGCTGACTTCAAGGGCCAACAAATATTCTGTAAAGGATTGCATTTTTGCATGGGCGGGTGCATTCATATGCATCCTGAGCCAGAGGAGATGTTACTTGGTGGGAGGTGGCTAAGATACATAGAGTTTCAGCCAAGGCAGTTTGGAATGAGTTGGGCCAAAAACTGCGAGAGTGAAGGAAGAGTAGCTGGCACATTTCCCTTGTCAGTACTTGCCTTGCAAATCTCCGTCGCCACCAACATGCTGAGGCAATTAAACCAGTTGTCGTACGCCTCCAGAGTGTAAGTCTTAGTAACGTCGCCTCGGCACTGCAAAAGAAAGGTTGTAAATTATGCCTATACAAAGCGCTTGCAAAAAAATGGTTTTTCCAGTGACACCCATGCATCTCCACACAAGTGACTTCATCTTGCATGCTTCAAAGACAGACACACTCTCCAGGCTGCGATTCAATGGCGACGTGGGGCAAATGAACTCCCCCATCCCATGTGGTATCCTCCTTACTAGATCAGTGCCCTCTGTTATCGGGGAAATGTTATCTCCCGAGTTCTATCGGATGCAAATGTATTCCCCGTTTGAGACATTTCCAGCTATCAAGTGCCCCACATGGGCAATTCCCCCTCACCTCACAGGATTACAGCCAATGTGAGGTCAGGGAGCAGGGCTGAAGTCTCTGGCTCTGCCTCCTATGTCACTTCCTTGTCACCTGATCTGTGCACCTCTCACATATTGCAAGGGTAACTTCTTCAGGGGATGGGACTGCTGTAAGTGTTGGATATGTAATGATGGTGCCAGGCAAGACTCCCCGGGGAGAACCTTCCACAAGTGGTCAGGCACACTGTACAAATGTGTGAGATGCACAGTCTGGGCAATGACAACACCCCCTAAGGAAGGGGTGAGGCCCTGTTGTTTCCTCCCTTGCACAATTATAATTGTGGAAGGGGAACACCCCAAATATGGCCAATTGTTTTGGCTATAAATGCACCACTAAAAATAAGAATTTTGGTTCTCTTTTATATCATTCTGAATTTTTGGTCTGGACAGCTGTCTGGGAAACCACTTAGAGCATTCAGAGAGAAAGGGGTGTATATTTCTCGTGCTTTTCCTCCTGGGGTGTTTGTGAAAATAGTAAGGATTTGCATATTGTCTTCAATAAGTGTTTAGGAATGACAAGGGGGGGGGAAACACACTGTCCAAACCCATTTTGTCATATTTAAGAGATGACTGCATGTTCAGTAACATTATATGCTAGTAGGGAACAATAGCTAAGGTGGGCGTACTCAACTCACTGTATGTAACTGAGAAACTTCAAATTGCTTTTAACCTTGAAGGAAGGTTGGGGGAAAAAATAACAACATATGACACTTTGCTACCTGGGGACTTTAAGGAAAGAGGCTCAAAATAATAAGTACTGGTGTGAATTATGATATTTAATCTTTTCTTCTTGTTGTGTCTAGACAGATCCCAGTCTTGTACAATATCCCTGCAGACTTCCTTGACCTCTGAATTCCATAATTGCTAACTTGCAGAAAAGAACTGCTACATAAGGTGCTCTTTGCATGTTCTCCCAGCTGTGTAGGTGGCAGCTCACAAATAGGGATCTCTCTCCCTCCTACCTGAATAAAATCCACAGGGCACCTAAGAGACAAAGGGGATGGGGGCAGTGATAGGGGTACTGTCTTATCCGGCAACATTTTTTTGTTTGTTTATCCTCAATGCTTAAGCCTCATAAAGCATGAACAGAAAAGAAGGCCTCATGCTATATGTATGCACAATATATTAAAATGTACTGAAAACCTCAGCTAGCGAAGAAATCAGTGCAGTCAGCTTATTTAACAGGAGTTGTCCTATTAGAGCAGAGCTAGCCATATGGTCCTTACAGATGATATTGGACTTCAGCTCTCATAATCCCTGAATATTTACCAAGATTGCTGGGAGTTGAGAGCTTGGCAACATCTGAATGGCACCACATTGGCTATCCCTCTCTTGATTCTTCCATATCGAAGTGCAGCTTGGTTGTTTGACAGTTCAAGAAACTAGCTAAATACTGCACGTGATAATTTTCCTAGTTCTCCTCATTTGATTCTTGGGTGTACAAAAACTTGGTATGTGCCATAGGAACTGGGTGTCAACTTAAATGTGGCAGATTGGGCAGCTATTGATGGAATGTCTACACCAGTTGTTGTGTACCAAAACTCCCATCAGCTCCAGTCACCACAGGGCTATGATTGATGGGAGTTGTGGTCCAAAATATCTAGAGGGCACCTGCTTGGCAAAGGGTGGCCTGCGCTATGGATTTAGTTTGGTGTAACAGTCATCCTCTTTCTTGAGGAAATCCTGGAAACTGTAGTTCTGGGTGGAAGATAGTAGACTAGGGATTTCTGGTCAAGGATCTTAATCCTAACCCATACTGTGCCCTTACCAAGCTACAATGCTCAAGTTTTTTGGGGGGGAACTATAACTCTTAAACTGTTACAGAAACAAGATGAGTTTGCCTTTAATTTTAAACACCTTTATAAGCCATGCACACAATGTTACCTGTAGCCCTGTTTCAAATTGCCACTGCGTTCACACTTTGTACGCACCTTGTGATTATCCAGGGAGTCCACGTGGCTGACTATTTGCATGAGGTCCTCGGGGTAAATGTTGCTCACCCTCTCCTAGATACAGCAAGATAGCAAAGGCCGTCAATTTTGCAAGCACACATATGAGGAACAGAGAGCTGTGACAGCCAGCCAGCCCTGTCGGGCCAGATCTTAATTGACATCTGTTTAACAAGATAGGCTTTGGGTCCTGTAAAAGACACACCTTGTGCTGCTTCACAGAGTCACACGCATACTTAAGAGTTCGCTTTCTCTCTTGCTACCCCTTTCTTTGTCTAGATTTTTCAGTACTGCCTGAACAGATTCTAGTTGTGCCTAAGGCTGTGTATATCCATTTAAAGCACACTGCTTGCCCTCCAAAGACCCCAGGATCTGTAGTTTGCCCCTCACAGAACTACAATTCCCAGTACCTTTAAATGACTGTTCCCTGGATTCCTTTTGGGGGACCACAAGCTTTAAATGCATCGTGCGTATGCTGCGTAAGTTGGTGCTTATGGAAAGTGCAGGAAGGAATTTTTGAAATGCATCAGCTTGGATTGCTTGTTGCTAACCAGGAGATTCTGTAAGGGCGTAGAGCAGTGAGAAGACATTTGGCAGAGTGTCTTCCCACCCTGCTGCTCCATTGGTCCTTTCTCCACCATTTTTTCCTTCTCTGCTGTAGTAAGCAGATTCTAGCTGCCCAGCACAGCAGAGAGGAGTGATGGGTGGGCAAAATAACCATTGATGTAGTGGGGCAGGTGGTGTCACAGCTGCATATTCACCAGCAGAGCTTCCAGTTTAATATTTGGCATCCCTTACTCCAGGTCAGGGAACCAGGGGACAGTAATGCAGATATGTGGTTGGACCTTTAAGAGAGGTGGGCCTTGGGAAAGATTTCTGCTTTCATTTGTCTCTCCTAGGCTCTGGGTGTGTTAGCCTTGCTCTGAGATGACATTTGAAACCAGTCCTGGTAGCATGTATGGATGGGTTGAGTGGCTGAAGTACTCATTAGAACGATTTAGAAGACAGTGAGCTTCTGACGTTGACTGTGACTCCTCTTCCCCCTCCCTTTCCCCCTTGAGATATTCCAAGTCAGGAACAAGAGTTTGATAATGCAATGAATCTCCTAAAAGAGGTTGCAGGAATCAGAAAGTGATCAGTCGCAAGTGGTCTTTTCTCTCTCCAGCTCAAGTGAGTTCATTGTCTCTGTAACTGCCAGGCTCCCTTCTTCCTTCAGTCTCTCTTATATCTAGAAGCCACTTTTCTCAAACCTTCAAGCTGTAACTCAGAGCTCGGCTGGAGAACAGCTTGCCCTGGCCCTGCTAAACCTTCAAGTAGATGGAAGATAAAGGAACTCACCAGCTCAATGTGTGTGAGTTGCTGCGCAAGGACAAGTGGGTCACAGCAAACACTCAGTATGTCCTTCTGCGACGACTGAGGCTTTGTTTTAAGGATTGTGCCTTTGTCAGTCACGGGTTGGCGGAACTTCTCTCTGATCTCCTGGTACTGATTGCGTGCCGCAAGAGTCATCAGTAGATTCTGTGTCATCTGGCTGATGATCTTCTTCACAGTTCCATTTTCCTAATCAATAAAACAGACTGTTGTTATTTATTCCTGGCTGAGGAAATTCTAGATTGCCTCTTTGTTAATCAGAATTATGCTGGAAAGATTTCTGACTGGGATGCAAGAATTCAGCATCAAGTAACTTCATGTGCTGAATAAGCCCTCAGGAGGATTGGAGAGCTTTTTGCAGATGAATTGTATCATCATTCCGATTTGTGTAGGATTGCCAGGTGATTTGAGATACCAGCCAAAACAGGGAGGATGCTAAGTACTTAAATGACTTGAGTCAACAATGCCCCTGAATGGAAGCTACAACTGCCAATCCATTCTAGTCATATAGAACTACTAGAACAGTTTACAGTTTATACTCTTAGGCAGCCAGCAATTAGTTAGCCTAGTATCATAGCTCAGTTGGGTAGAGTGTGGTGCTGATAATGCCAAGGTTGCAGGTTTGATCCCTACATGGGACAGCTGCATATTCCTGCACTTGCAAGGAGTTGGACTACATGAGCCTCAGGATTCTAACTATACAACTCTATGGTTCTAGTTCAGTTAACAGTTGGACGGTTTTGTTTCAAATCACATGGGAGGTAACAATCAAGGAAAGAGCCAGCTCAGTGACTCTTAGCCCAAAGCACAGTTCAACAGCAGCTGCAACATCAGGAATGCAGGAGAATATGAGGGGAAGTGAGTATATTAAGATGCTCCATCTTTCCTTGATAGAGGCATCTGGTCAAGAATATTCAGGCTGCTTTCCATGTTATCTGTGTAATGTATATCCTTGCTGAAGTCCTGCGGAAGAGGAACAATAACCTCTCACCTTAGAAACAAGCTCTAGTTATATATACAATCAGGGACAACATTGCCACAACTGACTGAGTCTGCATAAACTCTCCTTGCTGACGTTGGTGTTAATTTGGCTTGTTGCTCAATTGTGACCTCAAGCACATGGCCATGAACCTTGATAAATGTTGTCATCCTGCTTGCATAGGCATGTAGGCTGCTTGATCTTCCTTTAGTATTCCTTACTGCGCCGAGACTTTAAAGAACTGCCTACGCAATACACTTGGGCCCTGCTCATGTCTGAAATCCTTGGTATGTCTTGCGTCTTTGCTCACTCAGGCAGCAAAAGCAGCCTGTCTGTGTCATCCTTGGGTCTCTACGGCAAGCGACATTGCCAATGTCAGCATGTTTATTTTATGGCTGTTACCTGACTGCTACGTTACCACAGCATATAAATATAAGCGCAAAAGTCTGACAAGTAGAACCATGTCCCTAGGATGCCCTAGACATCAGAAACATTGGCTGAGAGAGTTGCCTTGGCTAGACTGATGTGTGACTAAAACTACAGCAGAGGTTAATCTCACTGGGCTTCCTCGCAGAGTGTCACATGTGTGATGTCATACGTACGCAAGGAGCCTCCTCCCCAATGTCGGGCAGAGCTTGGAGCCTCTGGCATGCACCAACTTCCCCTTTGTTTCCACAGATACTTCAGATATTGCATTTTGGGGATATATTGACAAAAGTGAGTATGCAATCTTCATAAAGATCAGATTTTTCAAATGGTGATTTGATGTTCCCACATTGTTACCACTTAAATGTGAAGGATTGCACATGGCTCTCAATTGAAAAGCACATATGTCTAGATCAGGCTGATATCCTAGGCACACTTACCTGGTTGTAAATCACAGTAAGCCAGTGGGGCTTACTTCTGAGTAGACATGTACATAAATTGTACATCATAAGCAGGTGGCCTTATAATATCATAAGCAGGTGGCCTTTATTGTTCTTTTGCATAGGTATGCAAACACATATACACACTCTCCATGTCCCCATTTTATTGGCCCACATGCTATTGTTGATCTTGTTGGATATTTGTTGGCATATTTTACAGCCTGAGAGGCATAGGCCTTTAAGGGACCACCCCTGCCCGTACAGGCCAGTCTTGACAGACTCTAGGGTTGTGCGCTCATCTCACTCTAGAGGCTGGGACCCAGCGCTGTCCGCAGGCACTTCCGGGTCACGTGGGGCATAGACCTTTACCAAGGTGAATTATTTTTACAACTTATTATTCTTGATTCAGGTATAGCCTCGCTGATGAATGGGAGACAAGGAGGAGACAGGAGTGTTTCCTCCAATTTTGAAAAGGACCCAGATAATGAAAACTGAACATAAAACAAAATATAATTGTTTTCCTTTAGTGTTTATGCGCACACCGTTTAAAAACCCAGCACATAGCCTTAATCATTTCCTATTGCCTTCAGGTTGTGACAGCTTAATAAAATGCAGGTAAACAACATTGCTGACATCCTGAAACTTGTCATGCTACTCTTGACAACACCTTTAATATCAAAGCATCACCTCCAATCATCATGCATTGCTGCCAAAGTTGTTGCACCACTCTAGTCTTTTTGGCCATTAACATTTTAAACAGACACATGCCTGTCACTCTTAAACCTCTGGGGCCAATCTCAAATATATATTTGGAACAGTCATTTCAAAAAGACAGCATTCTTCTCGCTCTACCCTTTATAGTACTTAGGCAACATGCCTAACCAGACATAGACTCAGGAAGCAAATACCACTGAACTCAGCTAGACTTTGGAGTAAACAACTTTAGGATTATGCTGTAAGGATCTAGTTAGAGCCTTTTATCCCCTCCTCCCTGTGTGTTTAGAATGTATTTGATTTATCAACATAAAATAAGGCGCAATAGGCAGTTTTTAATCACAAGGCCATGTGTGAATTTTGTACCTTGGCACCACTTGGTAGGCTGTGCCTTGATGCACAGACAATTCATATAGAATCAGAACTGTAGAGTTGGAAGGGATCCCAAGGGTCATCTAGTCCAACCCTCTGCAAGGCAGGAAACTCAGCTAAAGCATCCGTGACAGATGGGCACCAACCTACCTGAGAAGCCCTTTCCAATTTTACAGTGAGATATGGAAATTCTAACGGAATATGTTGACAACACACCAGCAGTAAGAAAAAATAATAGGCCAGTTGCCTTACAGGAATATGGTGAACATCCAAGCACTGTCCAATAGTATGCCACACAAGTGGAGCCTGCAATAAAATGTTGCAGTGTACCCTCCCTCCCTAGAAGGAGTGATTCTGTTCAGGGTTCTAGGCAGCCGTTCCTTCCAGACATGACATTCCAACTGTTGTTTTTCTATTCCAATTGATTCTTAGTGTTCTTGGCTACTGAGTACACTCAGTTTTCATTTAGCTGTAGTTTCTGGTGTAACAGAGGGCTACCCACTTAGACCTGTTTTTGTTTTAATTTTAAAAAACACAACATTTTGCTCTTCTGTAAACCACAGGGCTTCCCTAAGCAGCAGCGAAACTAGCCGCTCGGGCACCCGGAGCAGCACATATGCCATGCACCTGGGGGTGGGTTGATTCGCCCAGGGGGGCCGATTGGCAAAGCGGCGATCCACCCAGGAGGGCTGATCAGTGTAGCGATGATCCACCCGGGGGGCCAATCGGTGCGGCGACGATCCGCTGGTTTTTTTTTGTTACCCCCCTGGAATGACATGTGGGGTGGGCCGTCCCCACCGCCCCATGCCAACTGATACCTCCCTCTCCCCCAACCCCAGTGGCCTTTCTGGGCTCTTGTCTTCACCACTTGAGATTAGGGGGAGCAAGGGAAACACAGATATGGTGGTTTGGGCTCTCTCATTGCTAGGATTACATTAAGACTGGTGCCATATGGGGGTTGCAATAGTAGCAAGTTACTCAATAGTGGTGGTGTGGTCAGTTGTACATAAAATTTGAGGAGTAAGAGGTCCCTGAAAAGGCAGAAAGGGCCAACTTCTCTGCTCCTGTTAATACCATTTAGGCAAGTCATGGTCAGCAGTTGTGGTGCCTCAACGCATCTAGCAAATATTTGCAACCTGTCAAGACAAATTATAGGTTGGGACGGGTGGTGGTTGTGTCTGTTCTACCTGAATGTGTGTGAGTTCGTTTTCCCCCTTACCTCATCACACTGTGTGATCCTGTGAGCAATTTCCTTCAGCTCTTTCATAGATTTTTCATCCTGGAAGTCGTAGGGGAAGGTTTCAGTCCATTCTTTCAGGAGCTGAATGATCTTGGCAGCAAAGGACTTAAGTTTTGCCTAGGAAAGAATGCAGAGTGGTTAATCAATGAGCCAAGGAGACTTTCCTTGACGGTGACTTCTGGGTAACCAGATGGCACCCCAAGAGCCAAATCTTTGAATCATTAACAGTGGCATATGAAAACAAAAGGAAAAATAAGTTGTGTTAGGGCTAAAGTCTCAGCTGGTCTTACAAATCCCTTTCTGTCTTTCTTCCAATAGAGAGCATTAAAAAGAGAGAGCAGGTGTGTCTAATGCTTAGCTCAGCATCCTCAAGGCTTTGCATCAATGTGGTGTGTGTTGGGGTGTGTGTGTGCAGTTTGGTTCTTTCAGCTGTCTCAAGAGCATACACAACAGCCATAAAAGAAAGGAAAAATTAAGGGATACCTTTGATGCAAAGTTTTAGCGGCTTGCTCTACGGCTTTAAAGCACATTTTGTCAGAAAGCTCTGTCTCCAGCTTCTTCCATACAGACAACGCATCCCTTGGGTTTATTTTGTTTTAGACATTAGCCAGTCAAAGTTAAGCACGTTGATTTAAGCGTATGCTTAGCTTCCTCGTTAAAAACAACAGGAAGCGAAAGCGCTTTTAACTGTGGCTGGATTGTGGCATTTATTTATGCGTCCCGCAGCGCTGCAAGTCCTCATAGCAGCTTACAAAATATCAACATAAAAATAAATGTGGTTTCATGCCAATTTGATGCCTGATATTTAAAATGCATAGTAAACCGCCCCACAAACACACACAGACAAGCAGGCATGGTGAAGGAAAGGCACTGTCTCCTCTGGCAGCTTAAAAGCTGTTTTTTTCCTTAAAACAAAAAACAAAAGAAGGTTTTGCCAGGTGGGTTTCTCAGGGAGAGTTGCAACGAGAAAGCACTCCAGGTTTGCAAAGATTGCCCTAAGCAGAGCTGCTTCTGAATATCATAATGAATATGAAGGAATAAAGTGCTGAGGTGCTCCTTCAGATATTGAGGGCCCAGGGCTTTTGGGGCTCTGAAAATCTAAACCAGCACTTTGAACAAGCTTGCAAAGTGGGAAGGGACCTAGGTCAGTGGCAGAACATATTCGTGACATGTAAAAGATCTTGGGTTCAACCTGGTATCTCCAGGTAGGGCTTATGAAAGACTTCTGCCTAAGACCTTCTGCCAGTTACTGAGCCGCATAGACCAACCGTCTAACTCGTTCCTAAATCCAATGTAAATATTTAAAATAGGTGGTGATTTCCACAACTAATGCCCATTGGGCACCTTGAATTGGACCAAGTGTCATTTCCAGCACTTCCCAAAATCCAGTGCATTTACTATACAGTGGTACCTCGGGTTAAGTACTTAATTCGTTCCGGAGGTCCGTTCTTAACCTGAAACTGAAGCACCACTTTAGCTAATGGGGCCTCCTGCTGCCGCCGTGCTGCCGGAGCACGATTTCTGTTCTCATCCTGAAGCAAAGTTCTTAACCTGAAGCACTATTTCTGGGTTAGCGGAGTTTGTAACCTGAAGCGTATGTAACCTGAAGCGTATTTAACCTGAGGTACCACTGTACAAGGAACATCCATATCTTTCTACATTGTAATCAGGTGTCACGAGGCAAGATCATTCTTCTAGTTTCATTACATATTGGTTGGAGTCTAGTATCAGCAAATTTTAATGCAGCCTTTTTTAGAGGGAGATGGAAATTTAGATTTCCTTCATTACTGAGTCATTTGAGCTTCATCCAGGCTTTGGAGGGTGGGGACTTCCTAAATACTCCTTGGTCACAGGGCATCTTATTCATTTCTCCTAATAGCTCTGTTGCTGTACCTTTTCTTCACCCTGCTTGGGTATATTAGCTAATGACATTTAATTAAAGTTCTCAGCGAGACAAAATGATTTAAGTTTTGCTGTGAGAAGGAGCAGAAATAATGCTCTCAGCAAAGTTTGGGGGAGCAACCATTTCCTTTGTTTGTCATTCCAGCCAGTTGCTTTAAGTTTCTCCCCACCCGCAGCCACTTCAAGCAAGCAAGGGAAGGGTTATTCCTTCCGTGATTTCCACCCTTGCCTGGGAATTTACAGAGCTCTAGGGGATGTAATGCAGACAGGCTCCCTTTTCGGAGAAAGAAGAAAATGCCTTGCGATTGCTTAACATAAAGAAAGTGATCCTTAGGCTCCAGTATTTCAGGCTTTGGGGGTTTTTTTTGTTCTTTGTTTTAAGAAAAATAACCCAGCAGCTCTTTATTGATTCTTAACAACTCACCAAAGACAATCTGCTGGAGACTCAGCCACTTGCTTGCGATATTAATGTCTAACCAGATTACATAGGAATTCTAGAAAAGGGTCGTTTAAGAACTGCAAGGAACAACTGTTCTACCACCCAGCAGATGCAGCGTCTAGGGCAGAAAATGGAAACTGGCAGTTCCTGGGCTAGACTCTGTGTTTTAACATTTGTCCCCAAGGTCAACAAGGAAAGAGTGATGTGTGGAAGGCGAAACAGAGGACTTAAGCAGCAGTCTCTGAAGGGTTGGTAGCAGGATAATGGCCAATCACCCTCCCTGCCTACTTCTAAGATTCCAAAGACCAGGTTCACATGTGAATATATATCCTTTAATTTCACTGTGCTTGATTACTGTGCACTTGAGGATTGAACGAAAACTAGAACTGAACTAAAATTTCTCAGAATACACATTTTTTCTAAGAAGATGGTCAAGATCTTTCTCTGCCCCCCCCCCAATCCATTTTGCAGAATTCTCTGCCATCTATCATGGTGACCACCATTTCCCCCTCCAACCGCCCTCGAGCTGCGCTGGGCTTTGGGTGGGATGCAAATTGATGGCCAAGCTGCCAGCACAGTTGCTTCATCTGCAGCATCAGCAACAAAAAATATTCAGGGGGGAAGAGAGAAGGAAGCTGTGCTAATGATGAGCCACACCCACAAGGAATAGTTGGGGAACTCCTCCTCCTCCTGAAAGAAATCTGGCGAAATGGTTCCCCCAATTCCTCTCCCCACAAACAGGGTGGAGAAATTCAAGATACAGTGAAGTATTTAGGGAAAGGGAACATGTGGACTTCCAGACATTGCTGGACTCTCATCTCCCATCATCTCCAACCAGCAGGGCCCATAATGGCCAGGGGTGATGGCAGCTGTAGATGGGATCTGAAAGGTCACAGCCCCCCCCATTTTAGGCAATTAGTTCTTCTGGGAAAGTATCAGTCCTCCCCACCCACAGTTGAGATGCTTGTTAGTTTCACAATAAATCAGTGTTTCCCAACATTTGGGTCTCCAGCTATTTTTGGACTACAACTCGTATCATCCCTAGCCAGCAGGACCACAGTGGTCAGTAATGATGGGAATTGTAGTTTATAAACAGCTGGAGACCCAAGTTTGAGAAACACTGCAATAAATCAAACTGAACTGTTCAAAGAGAAGAGAGTGGTTGGTTTTATTATTATTATTATTATTATTATTATTATTATTATTATTATTATTATTATTGCTATTTTTGACACATACCCAGTGGAAAATTTTGGCAGTGGAAAACTTAAAGAAATGAAACTGCGCTCCTTTGCTTTACTGGTGGGGGGTGGGCAGTGTTGACAGCTATCATGCATGCAGGTCCTAAATAGTTCTACCTTTTCAGCAATTTTCTGGATTCTAGCTGCAAATTACATTCTGGCAGTTCCCTAAGGAGGGCAATATCTGATCCCCCCCTTGTCCCTATTATATAGCCTTGTAAAGTTAACTTGCTACTTTTTGGCAGGGTTAACAGCCCTCTGACATATTTATGAAAAAGGGGTATTTTAAAACACCGAGACCCTCTCCCTTGTCAAATAAAGCAGCAAAAGCCTCCCAAGTGGATCTGAGCAGGGCTAAAGTTTGTGTTTAATTTGTCAGCTTGTGTCTTGGAACATTTTCTGTGAGATTTTGCTAGTGGCTGGTGATGTCATTAATAAAGGAATGATAAGTATAAGCACATAACCACAAAGCCTGGCTTCTTGCCAGGGTTTCTGCTCACACGCCACCCAACTGGTATTTGATTTAATAGTTTGTTTATACAGGTACCTTATCACAGTGCATCAGAGCTCTGTGTGTTTCATCTATTTTGCACAGTAGTAAGCTTTGACTGGCAGCACTTTGACTTTTCGGAACTCACGATTCCTTAGCAGATCACGGACAAAATTAAAACAAGAACTGTTCTGCTGAAGAAAGCTCAACAGACGCAATAAACAATGCCGTCTCCTCCAACATTTGAGAAGAGGAAACCAGAATCTTGATACATAACCATTTCCTCTTACTATGTAAGAGTTAATGTCTCTGGAATATGACAGTGTGACATAAGAAAGACTTCAAATATTGTCCTGAAAATAAATATTTGCAAGCTTTTGAAAGGACAGAGGAGATAGGACTCCTAGAGTCTAGACTCCAGTGCATCACTCTTCTATCCTTAGCCATTCCCTTCTGGTGGGGATGCCCAGAAGCATGGAGAAAGCAAGGGATTGATTCATTATACATGGTTTAATGAGGATCAGTCCCAATGTATATATATGCTGGGCTTGTTAAAGCAACTTATTTGTTTAGGGACAGTGGTGCCCAATGGGCTTGGTGAGGGGCGAGGCAGGACAGTGAATGGTAAGTGGAACCGGGAGTTATAATAATCAATGCTAGTTCATAGAATCAGAGAATTGTAGAGTTGGAAGGGACCACAAGGGCTCATGTAGTCTAATCCACTGCAATACAGGAATATTCTGCCCAATGTGGGGCTCGAACCCACGAGCCTGAGATTAAGAGTCTCATGCTCTACTGACTGAGCTATCCCAGTCTAGCAACTCTCCCAACCCCCCGTCCATTTTTCTAACAGGTCCCACTCCTGATCTTTAGCAACAGTCTGACATAAGATACATTAATGGCTGTTGCTAGGTATAAATTGCAGTGTGTTTCCTACATGTGTGGCATTAGCATGTCCAGAATCTATTGCCTGAGATTGCTGCATTTGTAGGCACCTTGCACGTGATGCTGTCTCTGTAAAGTCTCACACAGATAATGTTTTGTTTGTTTTAACATTTGACTCAGATGATGCCTAGGTATGTTCAGTAACGGCTGCTAAGGTGAAATTTACAGGTGTTTGTTTCAAGGAAGACTTACACAGCCGTGCTTATCACGATGTAAATGCAATTACCCTGGCAGCATTGCTGTGCAAAACAGCCAATGTGGTTGCTCAGCGCACGAAAACAGCTATGAGATTCAGTTCTCCTACCCACAGCAAGAACACTGTGCCAGTTTCAGTAAGTAACAACTGGCAGTAAAGTTCGTATTACTCAGTATATACAGCACATGCAAAAACGAATAGGTTAGCAAAAGGGTACAGCTGATGACTAGGAGATTGTATCTGTTAGTTGGAAGAACCTGTTTGACAAGAGGATGTAGAGATTTCAGGGAGAGAAGAAAAAATACATTGCTTCTAAACCAGTGAGAAGCTTTGTATTCCACATACCTTGTCTGCGTCGACTCCAGTCTCCAGTTGCTGCTTCTGTTTAAGGCAGATTTGCCCCACTTTAGCTAGGAGTTCATGGGGGTGAATGAAGACTCGGGAACTCAGTAGGAAGGTAAAGATATATGTCCTCTGCGTTGGAAAGACAAGGAAAATAATAAAAAATGGGGATGTGAATGTCTTCTTCTCAGGGTTAGATTATCATTAGATAACTGGTATCATTTTGACAACCACCAGCCAAAATAGACTAAGCTTTTGAGTTTCATACTAACATGTTCTCAGAAATTCATACCACAGTTTACTTGGAAGTAAGGCCTGCACCACGTATTTACATACGCAGATAACTACATTTTTCTACAGATGGTGTGATTTTTCTTGGTTGCAGGCCATGTAAGATTTGAGTCCTGGTCTGGGCAAAAGGCGATATATATGGTAAATAATAATGAAGATAATAGTAACAACCACAAGGTGTTCAAAGCAGGAGCAATGATTGCACAGTAGTAGCGGCACTGCCGTAACCTGTGTGTTTCATTTAGACCCTCCTGCATGCTTGGCCCCTTCTGTATGTGTTCATTGTACACATTTTTAACACCTGAGGAGGCCTGCAAATGTAAATAATTTTCTGCTTCTGTCTGTAGTGTTAGATCACTCCACTTCCACATGCAAGCCCTTACATGTGTCAGCCATCACATAGTAACCATGCATGTGTGAACCAAGCTTGATGTAAGTAAGACAAAACTTCTAGTTTAGAGTTGCAGTCTTTGTTCTGTGTAACAACATGTGTTTACAGTTCCCTCTTAGTCCGCACAGAGTTAGAGTAAGGAGTATGGACTTCCTTCTAAGAGGAATATGGATCTTTGTTCCTGGAATCTTTGTGAAAATGTTAAGAATCAATGGAACTTAATTCTAAGCAGGCATAGGATTCCCAGAGTAATCCCTCCCCCCCCCCCAAGTAACTTCCCATGTAGTTAGTACCAATGCAGTTTAACCTGGTCTACTCAGAAGTCCAATTGAATTCAATGGGGTTTATAAATGGGCTTAGAATTGAACATTTCATCGTACAGACAACATCAATGAACATTTCATCGTACAGACAACATACCGGTACATAGCACAGCTTGCCAACAGTACAGTAGACATGTATAATTCATGAACAATCTCTACCAAATTGCCTAGCACTGTGTACCAGTACCATTGCTTGACAAGGTCAAATGCTCTCCATTCTCCAGACCCCTCATCCTCTATGCTTCCCTTGACTCTCCATTTGTCAGTGAATGAGGATTTCTCTCGCTCCCTGCTTGTCCTATGGTCAAAGCCACAAGACCACCAAGGGAAATTTTATTTTTACTGCCTGTGATTCATTCTCTCAAAGTTGTTGTAGTGCCAGAAAGCAGAAGATAACTGAATTTATTGTGCAAAGACTTTAATATAATTATTGTATGCAAGAAGTTTCTGTTTTCATATTTTTGCCTTTGGACTGCAGTGGGAAAATCCTAGCTGTCCAAGAAAAATACGGTATGCATGAAAATACATAGTGTGGCAGGCAGTAGATCATGTCTAGCTGCCTTGCCTCAGCATCACCTCATCTTCTTGTTTGAGAGGTAATATCTAAGGTAGGGTTGCCATACATCTGGGCAGTGAAGTAGCTGAAAGCTCAACAACTTTTGTCTCCGGATTTTCACCTTTTTAAATATGGCAACCTTATCTAAGACCCCTTGCAGATGACTTGCTTATTCAGAATTCATCCTGATTTGTTTGTGAAGAGGTTAGATGACTTCGCATCAAGCAAGTTTTATCCCACACTTTCCAATATTTATTTCCCCATCATTCTCCTTATTGCAAAAAGTCCAATCTTGTGGAAAGCAGTTTTGTCACACAAAATCTCCATACCAGCTTTAACTGTGCAACCTGAATGTGCCAGTATGCTACTGAATACCACCTAAAAACAGCAGCCATTTGGAAGTGCCCTACCTGTCAATTAAATCACTAGAGACAATGTGCATGGGTCTGATAATATGCAAATAAATCCTGTAGGGTTTTTTGTTTTTTTCCCTTCAAGGCTACGGTGGTCAAGCCAACTATTTGGGTAGTGGCTGCAGGATCCATGATTCATACAAGTGTGCATTTGTGATTAGGCCACAGCCTTTGAAGATAGTTAAGGTAATGTTGAAATGTTCCCTTTGAAAATCCTACATATTTTATGTATCAGCCCACATGCTGTGTACCAGTCACATAGTGTATTTTTCTCCCACCTCTTTTAACAGCAGCTGAGTACTAGAACAGAAGTAGATGAATCTCCTTAAATCTGCAGAACAGAATATAACGCTTCTCTTCCCCTCTCTCCATCTTATTGCCAGAGATGAGCAGCTAACATTTGCAAAATATATGACCATTTATTTTTATAGAAAACCCCATCATACATTACATTTTAATGCCTAGTTGAGTGAATCCATCATGTTAATGCAGAACTTATGATCTATGGAAGAATTACTAAGATCTTAAACTCGCTTGAGGACAGATGAATTATCAATAGCTGGGGCAACATATGTTCAGAGGTCTGGAACTCATCACAGTAGAAGGGAGTGGAGCACGAAGGAAGCATGACTGATAGAACATTAATATGAGGTTGGAGAAGGCTATGTGCACTGGGTTTCATGATGTTCAGAATGCCTGTTTAGTTTGGGAGACAAACGACCTATGTTCAGTTATGTTATGACTTTAACCTTAAAAAAACAACAGACTGGTGTAGTTCCCCACCCCCTTGATATAGGCCTAGTTTATATATGCCCTCGCAGCTTCTATGTGGCCAGGAACCCACAACTGTTCCCAAGTGGAAGCAGAAGTGGTTTGGGATATAATCACATCATCTTGCTTCTCTAAATGTTCTCTGCAGATGTTCCCCACTTCTGTGTGGGATTCTGCCATTTAGAGAGGGTAAGTGTGGGCTGTTGCCTGTCTCACATGTGTATTTCAGCTCACGTGATTGCTCCTTAGGAACATCTATATCTCAAGTTCTTCGCTACAGTCATTGCTGTTTTCTGATGCTTGTTGCTGACTTGTGTGTGTGTGGGGGGGGATGTTTCTATACTATTTGGAAATCTTAATTTTATGTTTGAAGTGACGGCTCAGGATGGCAATACTCTGCCTCCATCATCTGAGGCCCTTCCACGTGTAGTCTGGAGGGTGGCAACATGAGAATGGGCCTTCTCTGTAATGGCTCCCCATTTGTGGAATGCTCTCCCCAGGGAGGTTCGCCTGGCTCCTTCATTATATATATTTTAGGTGCCAGGCAAAAATGTTCCCCTTCAACTAGGCCTTTGGCTGATTAATATTCTACAGCCATTTAAATGTGTCTGTGGGAAGGGGGAGTTATTGTCTTGCTGTTTTGTTTTCACTTATTTACTTGTTTTTATCCTGTATTTTATTCTGTGAATCGTCCTAAGATCTTATGATATAAATAATAATAATAAAGAAATGTCATTGATTTCCTTTGCTGATATTTGAGAACCACCTGTAAAATGGAGCTAAGTTTGTTAAGCAAGTTTGGTATCTTTTTTTGGGGGGGGGTAGCAGCTGACATCTGTTTCTTTGGTGGAAGGCTATCAATTCATTCTTGTTATTTAATGCACAGTTTCAAGTTCTGATAAGTCAAAAACCTTTGACCAAAGCAGGAAAAAAGACTCATTCTCCAATCTGTCTGCTCACACAAAGATAGGCAAGCTTACTGTGACAAATTATTGACTCAGCTGACAGTGACAGGACAAGAGGGTACAGTTGTGTGTTTGCAAGTGATAAACGCTACACAGATTTTCCTGTTCCCCTGTTCTCCTTCCTTTGCCAGCAAGCTGTACTAAGTGCAGAACTGGATGTAATATACAAAGAAGGTGGCCCTGCAGTTTGAATTGTGTCCCCCAAGCTTCTAGTTCAAGTGAACACCTACCCTGACATTACAATGAGCCTTCCCCCCACCTCACTTTATATAACTGCTTGGTGGGACAAAAACACACACATTGTAATGATGTCAGGACACAATGTAAATTGAAGCAAACATTACAGAACATGAGCTTGAAGACAGCACCCCCATGTTGAGTTCTTGTTCCATGTTCTCTGCAACAAAGTTGCTGGACTCCATCACCCCAGCCAGAGTGGCCAGAGATCAAGGATGAGGCAGCTAAAAGTCCAGCAACAAGAGGGCCAGAGGTTCCCTGTTTCTCTTGTATGGAGTAGATTTACTTTCTCTGTGATGGCACAGAATTCCAACAAGCATTTATCAGAGATGGTATCTGTGTTATGGTTGTCATTGGTAAAACATTGGGTTGGAACGCACGCTAAGTTGGTCAAACTTAGTTCCCACTGAAACCAATGGGACTCGCGTCTTGTCTAATCTGTCCCAGTGAGGCCTAGGTTCAACTAACAGTCTGGAACCAACCCATAGTCCGTAATTGCCTTTGAGGGAGCTGCTGGGGGTGCTTATTTAAAATGTTGTTACTCGCGTACATATATGTTGACTGGAGTTCCTTGCCTTTCATCCCTCTGTCTCCCACCCTGCTCCTGGGCACCTGCAACTTAAACCCAAACTGAGTATTTCACAAGAATATTGTGAGCAGTTTGCTGATTTTTAACGCAAAACTGAAGAGCAGCTGTGTGAGCAGAGGAAAGGCTGGGGCAGGGGTACTTAATCCTTTCCCCTCCTGCTGCTGGTTGCTTAGAAATAACCTCCCTGGACTGTTTTACTTTCTGCAGAGGAAAAGATGTGGGGACTCCATATATTTCCCCCTGGGAGCAAGACAACAACTTGGTATGGGACTGGTTTTGAGCAGGAAAGGTTAAGCTGCCCCCTCTTCAGCTCACAACTGCAGCTTCCAAGGCCGCTTCTTCGTAAACAGCAACAAACGATCAGGAGGCTGTTTATATCTCCCATGTTTTGCCCTTGAAACCCTGAGGTGGCCCTGGGAAGAGCTTGGGCAGATGCATTTTGATTCTAGAGCACATGTTTGCAACCACACATACGTGGGCCTCAGTTATTTCCACTCCCATCTCCTGTCTCCAAACCAACATATTATGATACTGAAATATCCTCTTGCTGTTATTATGCAATGAGCACAACCAGTTTCGCTGAGCGATTAAACATT